CGTCAGCGTCGTCGTCCCCGGCCACACCCCGGCCAAAGGGAATGTCGAGGATCGAACACGAGCTCGGAAAGAGTCTGCCCGACTGGGCGGTGCACCACATCGCACTGCAGAAAAAGTTTCCGGACGGATGGAGGCCGCCCAAGATCCTGTCGCGCGAGGCGCAGGAGGGCATCCGGCTCCTGCACGCGTCGGATCCGGACCAGTTTGACCTCGTCGAGCTCTCGCAGCGCTTCCGCGTCGGCGTCGAGAGCATCCGCCGCATCCTCCGATCCAAGTGGGCCATCACGGGCGAGGCGCGCAGTCGCCAAGACCGGCGCGCCGCCGAACGGGCGGCGGAGCGCGAGACGTCCGAACTCGCCGAAATCCGCAGACTGCAAGAGGCAGAACTCGTCGGCGACGGTGAGTCGCCCGAGATCGAAACGGATGAATTCGCCGACGAGATGCCCGATGACGAGGAGGGCATCCAGCCCGTGCGGTACGAGGGCCTTGTCATGTCGGCAGCCGATGCATCGGCGCTCGGCGTGACCAGCAGGACCAAGGCGGGAGGCAAGAAGGGAGACGGAAACTGGTGTCTCGTCGATGCAGACTGGTGCATGGTGCATGTCATGACCGAACAGGCGCGCTTCAATTACGACATTGAGGGCATCTGGCGCGAGCTCGAGGCGGGCAGACACGCCAAACCCAAACCGTGGGAACAGGAGATGGCACAAGCACCGGCGCGGCCAAGGACCAAACGCGACGTGTTCGGATCGAGTCTCAAGAAGAACAAGCCTGCGCGGGCAGTGGGCAGGTTTGGCGACGAGAGGCGCTTCAGTACGAGTGCAACGAGGGCGGTGGCGGAGGTGCCAGAGTCGTTGGCGAGGGTCATGGCGCGTGCGCACGAGTCGCTGCAGAGCGGAGAGGACAGGGTTGCGGTGCAGGTAGAGGGGTGGTTGCGGTCGACGCGCAAGCAAAAGGCGATTACGTTTCTCGAGGTGACGGATGGATCGTTGGCAGGTGCGCGATCGTTGCAGGCCGTGGTGCGGTCCCACCCGGACACTGCGGGGCTCACCGTGGGCACGGCGGTGCGTCTCGTCGGCGACCTCAAGCGCGGACGCGGTTCGAGGCCAGGGCAAGAGGTGGAGCTGGATGCACACACTGTCGAGGTGCTCGCGCCGTGTGACGCGAGGTACCCGCTGGCGACACTGACGCACAAGGTGGAGCAGGCAGCGTACGCTGCGTCGCTGGCCGAACGGCGCAACCCGCATCTGCTGGGGAGGCTACCGAGGTATGCAGCGGTGGCACGCACGCGCGACCGTGTCGAACGCGGCATGGCAGCCTACCTCGCCACGCGCGACTTTGTCAAGATCGCCTGCCCCGTCCTGACCGCCTCCGACTGCGAGGGCGCGGGTGAAGTGTTCCAAGTGGTCGCCGATGCCGACGTGCGCGCCCAGCAGCCGATGCGGTCGTTCTGGTCCGGCAAACCGGCGTACCTGACCGTCAGCTCGCAGCTGCACCTCGAAGCCGCCGGGCTAGGCTTGGGCAGGGTCTGGACGCTCAACCCTGCCTTCCGCGCCGAGAGGAGTGCAACCAACCGCCACCTGGTCGAGTTCTGGATGGCCGAAGTCGAAATGTACTTTACCGGTCTTGACGGCATCCTCGACGTCACCGAGGGCATGGTCAAGGCAGCCATCCGCAGCGCGTTGGAAGGGGCAGAGGATATGGAGGCGTTGGGAGACGAGCAGCATCGATCGCGGTTGCAAGACACGGTGCGGGACGAGTGGAAGAGGATTACTTTGCGCCAAGCGTTGGATCTCTTAGCTCGTGCGCCCGGGGGGACGTTCGAGGTGCCGCCGAGCGAGGAGGGGGCACTGGCAAGCGAGCATGAAAAGTACCTCGCCGCGCAGCTGGGCCCGGTGTTTGTGACGCACTACCCGCTGGCGCACAAGGCGTTCTACATGAAGCGCGCCGCGCCCCTCGAAGCGCACCTGGTCGAATGCTTTGATCTGCTCATCCCCGAGCTGGGCGAGCTCGTGGGCGGATCGGTGCGCGAACACCGCACCGACGTCCTGGCGGATAATCTGCAGCAGCTAGGTGCATCCGCCGACAAGTTGGGCTGGTACACGGACGAGCTGAAACAGTTCGGTGGCGCAGTGCAACATGCAGGCTTTGGAATGGGCCTCGAAAGGTTGCTTGCCTGGATCACCAACACGGCCAGCGTCAAGGACGTCGTCCCCTTCCCGCGCACAAAGGGCCAGCTCAGATTCTAGAGGCTCTCGCCCGCCTTGCAATGCAATTTTCTCATCCACTCACTCGTGCCCACAAACAACCTTGAAGGATGATGGTGACAGAGACGTCTTTTGATTTTCAGTCGTCGTGAGCTGCAGGTTCGGCTTGGGCTTCCGCTCGGCGTTGCGCACGACGTCGACCGGTGGTGTCGGCCCAGCGTTGGTTCTTGAGCTCGTACGACTCTTCGCGCGGCCGCTCGCGCATCGCGACGTAATTCGCCGCGCCCCTGCCCGTGCCATTCCCGAGCGGAACGACGGCACCCCTGCCCGCACCTTGGCTCCCGCCTTGCACCGGGGAGTCGAGATAGGGAAAGGCGGCATGCTCGAACCTCGTCCTGCTCGGCAGTGTGCCGTGCGGCGGGGCGGAAGCGAGCACAAAGTGGCGTGCGAGCTCAGTGGAGACGGCCTGCTGCGTCCACGTCTTGTGCACGCGCAGCAGCGCCGAACTTGCCGCCCACGCATCTTCGGCCGCTTCTGCCACCGAGATCTGCGAGAGAGAGCCGTCGTAGGCGCCAACACGCCACTCGACGTCGGTCGGCAGGAATCCGCACTCCCACAGCACCAAAGGCCGGTCCGAAGCCATCTCGTAGTTGGGCTTGGTCGCGTAGATTTCCAACTCTCCATCCTCGGCGTGGGTGGGCGCGCGGTCAACCCACATGGGCGCGTCGGTGGGGGATGCACCAGTAGTGGTGGCTGTGGCGTTGACGGGAAGCCACCACTGAACTCCATCGCCCTGACGCGCGGCCTGGGCGGCCAGCTGCATCTTGACACGGTCGGCAGCAATGGCCCCCTCGTGCGTGTTCATCAGCTCCTCAACCACCGAAGGCTCCTCCAATCGCGCACCAACCAGAAAGAGGATCGCCATAATGTTGCGCACCTGGTGGTACAGGAATGCGGTGCCGCGCAGATTGAGCACGTACATCTCCTCGTCCCCCTCGGGCGTGTCGTTGATGTTGCTGGGCTGCGTGGGCCAGTGCGAAGAGACACGGTCGATGGAAACGCCGTCGATGCGCCGTCGGTAGTTGGTGATCTGCTTGGACGCATCGATCTTGCACAGGTTGCGGAAGTCATGCTCGCCCACCAGCCGCGCAGCTGCATCGCGCATGCGTCCGATGTCCAGCCGCGTCGATGCCGCCTCGGCGATAGCAGATGAGGAGCAGGAGGATTGCGCGAGGAAGAGCGAGGGTGGACCGGCGGGGAAAAAGTACTTGTAGTGACGGTATACGCAGTCGAAGCGCGACGAAAAGTCGGCACGCACGGGCGACCATGCATGGATGCGAATCGTAGGGGGCAGGATGCGATTGAGAATCTGCACATAGGGCAGCTCGGTATCCTCGAGCCGCGCGTTGCGTTTCGCCTCCAACGCCTCGTGGTCTTCCGAGAGCGGGACGGGGTCCGAAGAAAACTTGGCCTGGTGTTCGAGCCTGGCGGTCCAGTGGTTGAGCTTCTTGCTCCTGACCCAGAGCGCCACGACCTGGCCGGCCGCCGATACTCCACGGTCCGTTCTCCCGCACCTGCTGAATCCGGCGCCGTCCATGCCCAATGCAGGATCCACGAGGCGCGCAGTGCACATTGCGTCCCACAACACCGCCTCCACCGTAGGCAGCGTCGATCCCGAGCCCGGCACGCTGGTATTCTGCGCAGCTAGCCCCGAGTAGCCCGCGCCATCGTACGAAAAGCGCAGTGCGATCTTGCGACATCCCGCCGCGCCAAAGTCGAACTCCTTGGGCTTCTTCTCCTTCTTTCCCTTGCCCTTTGTTCCCTCCACAGTTCCGTCTGCATCCATCGACGAGCCGGAAGGTGCGGTTTCGAGCGTGCTAGGGCGTAAGTGCGCAGTTCTTTGGGCGGTGGACTGCTCCTCGAGCTCAGCGATGCGCGCAAGCAACGCCTCCTTGGGCCAGTCTCGGTATCGCTCGCGCAGCGCCATCTTGCGCGTCCACACGGCCTGGGCGGTAGATGCGCGTGCAAATGCAGATGTGGTGCCGAACGACCGAGCCTGCAGCACAGAAAAGAGCGAGTGCGGGACGAGTGTGCGCAGGCGCATCCAGCCGGCAGCGAGATTGGGTGGTGGATACGAGAGAAGCTGCGAAGATGCTGTCAGAAAAGGTCAAGAAAAGGTGGAGGCCTCACCCTTAAAAAAATAAATTCCGCAAAATGGACGAAAAGAAAAAGTTCCTGGAAAAAGGCAAAAAAATATCGCGCACCGAAAATAATAAGGCCACCAACCAAAAAAGGACCATCCAACCAGGCGATTTCACGCGGGAGAGCACACTTTGCCCCCTCGTAATCATCATCGAACGTGGGTGTCTGTGTGTGAATGTTTAAATACTTTGATTGTCCTTTGTGGTGTGCTACGAGTGCGACAGATGATCGACAACGAGCACGCCGTCGCTCTCGGCAAACGGATACGCGTAGCTGCTCAAGAACTGCCTCACAAAGCCGCCCACCTTGACGCGGCGCTTGTCGGTCTCCTTGCTGCTGTGCTTTGCCTTGCCGATGGCGAGATACGCGAGCCCCTGGATGCCCTCGGCCTCGAGACCCAGCAGGAACTCCTCGGTCAGCTCCACCGCCTCCTTGGCGTGCAGTCCGTGCAGGTCCAACAGGCACTCTGTGCGCTCGTCCATCGACAGGCTCGCCGTGATCGAGCCTTGCAATGCACCGGGCCGCAGTACGCCCAGACACACTCCAAGTCCGTTGCCCACCACCTTGCCACGCAGGCTGCGCGCACCAGCTTCGGTGCTCTGCGCCGAGTTGGAGCCGGACAGGTTCGGATCGTTGAGTCGCGAACGCAGCTCGCCGAGTCGCTCCTTGACAATCGCATGCGCCGCCGTGCGCGACTCGCTCTCGTACTGCTGATTGAGCGTCGATGCCTCCTTGCTGTACTTGCTCGCCGATGCCACGTCGCCTTTGCGATACGCCTCGGATGCGCGCGCCAGAAGCTTGTTCCTCTGCTCGGCCAATGACAGTACGTCGCCTCGATGCGCGAGGTACGTCTCGGACGCGCTGCTGCCCGTCAAAAGCGTCGGAAGCAGTGCAGACGGTCGCAGCGGGATGCGAGCCGAGCCTCGCCCCGCTGCCGACAACGACGACGACGCCTTACCCGTGGGCTTGATCGACGCCGCTGGCTGTGAGCGGATGGGCCCGGCTTTGGAGTGAATGCTGATCACACCCTGCGCATCGTCTTGCGCACGCGTCGCAGCATCCGCGGGCGCCTTCTTCTGCAACGTAGCCGCCCACCGATTCCTGGATGCATCCGCACCTCCTCCCAGCGTCGCCGCATACGAGCTCTTGGAGTTTGCATCTTTGCCCGTCGCGCCAAGCTCGGGGAAGTCTTCCTTTGCATCGCCGCCACTCGCCGCACCCATGAAGTCGCTCGCTTCCGGCGTTGCTTGTCGCTGCAGGCTGCTGTCGCTCACGTTGAGCCCGGAGACGATGCCGGTGGCGAGCTGGTTGAGCGCGTCGTAGTCGTGCAGAAAGTTGCACGGGTTGTGAGCGCAGTGGCCCTTGAGCCAGTAGCGACATACGGCGCGGTTGTCGAGGTCGTGCGAGAAGCGGCAGTCGCTGCGTCGACACTCTCCAGCCAGGAAGTAGCGGCAGACTCGGGCGCCTGCGCCGCCTGCTCCCGCCCCCGCCCCCGCAGCGGCCTCGTATCGTGGCGTCAACTGGGACGAGCCCGAGCGCGAAAGGCCCGGACGCTGTCCACGCGTGGCAGCCAGACCGAGCGCCTCTCTGGACATGACGTTGACGCCTGCCTTGACGCCGGCGGTGGCTGGCAGCGGAGTTGCGAACGCTCGGGGCGAATCAGTGGAGGCGGGCGCGACTGGTGCTCGGGGAAGCGAGGGTCCGCCGGCGAGGAGCGACTGGGAGCCGTCGCCGAGTGGCTTGCCGTCGTTATCCCAGATGGCAGCGAGCGTCTTTTCGATGTCGTAGTTGTGCATGACGAGCGCCTCGTCCACCTGCTCTGGGCTCCACTCGGACGAGCCGGCTTTGGTTCCGGTGACGAGGATGGAATAGAGCATGTCGAAAGGAGTGAGGGGCGCACTGGTGTCGGGCTTCGCCTCGCTCGAATCGGCCCGCGCAGAGAGACTGGCGTGAGCATCCGAGCTGGACCAGTGCTGATGTGCGTCGTTGCTGGCGTGATTTGCCGAGGTCCAGCCGGCGTTGGGATCGAAGGCGGTGAAGCCTGCAAAGCTGATGGGCTGCTGCTGGGTGGGTTTGACAGAGCCAAAGGGCGAGAATTCGTCGTCGTCGTCGTCACCGGCGCCAGCGTGGCTCTTGTTGGCGAGGGCGAGGTTGGTGCTGCTGGAGTTGGAGCTGGGACGGCGCACGAGGTGGGGCGCTGGCTGGGTGGGTGTGAGTGTGGCGGAAGGACCAGCGGTGGAAGAGGCGGTGGGAGTGGCAGCGCGCGGCTTGAACTCGATGGCGGCGATGTTGAGCTTGGGCGAGCCAAAGGGTGACGGAGAGGCTGGACGGCTGCTGGGACCGCCGATGACGCCTGGCGGGAGGGTGGAAAGAGTGGCGGGGGGGGGGGGAGCG